AGTTAGGGTAATTGCATTAACTTTTTCAAATAAGCTAATACTAAAACTTGATAATTGTCATTTTATTTTAGCACTTTTAAAAAACATGATATTCATTTCTGAATGAATTTGAATTTATTATTAAGAAAAAATATTATTTCTTTTATAATAATGATGTTTACAAAGAATTTAATACTTGTATAAAATTTGTGAATTTTGTTTATTATATAAGAAAACCAAAATACCATTTGTTGAAAGAGTTCTAAAGAATTGTTAGGTCTAATAGATACAAATATATATAATCAATAACAATTAGTGTCATAGTTGGATACATATGTTTCATCATTGATGACCATATTGAATATGATCATATATATTTGATGAAAATCTAAATTATTTAAAAGGTCTAAAAAATTTAGAAATAAAGTTGAAAAATAAATTGGAAAGAGTATTATTATATTTTGATTGGATCGAGGTGATGAATACTTCAACAACTATTTTTAAGATTATCTAAAAGAGAATAAGATTATCTTATAACGGGCACCTTTTGAAATACCATAATATAATAAAGTTTTTAAAAGGAAAAATTGCACCCTACTAGATAAGGTATGTTCCATGATGAGCTATACAAACTTTTCATCTTCCTTCCAAGGCTATGCCCCTATAAACTGCTGCTTACATTTTTAAAAAAAATCTATCAAAATCTATTAATAAGACTATATATAAAAAATAAAATGGTAAGAGACTAATCTTATCATACTTAAAAATTTAATATGTGATGCTTTTGTGAAGAGTATTGTATTTAAAAGGCTAAGAGCTAGGTCAAATAAATATAAGTTTAGGATATCTATAAAAAAATATTGTATAATATTTATGTCACCTCATTAAGCGAAAGTGTTTGTTTTAAAACATGTCATCTTTCTAAAGAAATAATTTGTTTTTAAAATAAGCAATGATAAGAAAATAGAACTTGAAAAAGATCAAGAACTATAAAATGATATCCAAATAAAACGTGGATTTGAGGCTACAATATTTTATGTTCGCTTTAAAGCTTTAGAAACATAAAAAATTCTTAAATTTGGTAGGACACGTCATGCACCAATAAGATATGGACTTCTCATAAAAATTGAATGAAAATTTAAAATAACAAGTTACTTATACTTGATGAGCCTACCAATTACATAAAATCAATATTAGATATTAATTCTAAAAAATAGATTAAGTCTATGAAATGAATTTTATGTACGCCAACCAGGTATAGATTGTGCTTGATCCACCTAAAAGAATAAAATCCATTCGACGTAAATAAGTTTTTAAGATAAAGATTGGTATAAATATTAATGTACAAATATACAAAATTAAACTAGTTGTCAAATATTACAGACAAGGACAAATAGGTTAACTTTGATGAAACCTTTTTGTTGATAATTGTGTTAAAGTTTATAAGAATTTTGCTTATTATAGGTGCATACCATGATTATAATATTTGGAAAATGGATATAAAAATTATATTTTTAATGGGAATCTTCAAGATGTGTATGTGACATAACTAGTTTTGAATCTAAGAAATTTTTCAATAAAGTATATAGGTTATGAAAATTCATATATTGGTTCAATTAAGTTTTAAAGAGTTGGAATATCCATTTTGATGAAATAATCATAATGTTTAACTTCATTAAAATCCATTTGTGTTTGTAAAAGCGTTAGTGAAAATTGAGCTATTTTTATAATATTATATTTGAATGATATATTATTAATGAAAAATGACATTTTTTTCCTTTACTTAATAAAGATTTGGTTGTTCAGTAATTTTTTTATGAAAAAAATAAGAGAAATAACCTATATACCGGGAATAAAGATCTATAAAGATATATCTAAAAGTTTGTTTGGATTATCTCAATCCATGTATATAGACAAGATGCTAAAATAATTTAGCATGAAAAAATCTAAAAAATAATACTTACCTATTTCACATAGGATACATTTCTCTAAGATTATGTGCTTTAAAAGACAAATTGAGATATATATAATGAAAATAATTTCTCATATTTTAAAAATATTATATACTAGACTAAATATATCTTATACTTTGAATATAATAAATAAATATCAATCTAATCAATATAAAAGTCACTGGAAGATAGTTAACAATAATATTAAGTGCTTAAGAATAACTAAGTTGTTTTTTTAGTTTATAAAGAAGATAAACAAACAGTTCATATTTATTTGAATACTAGTTTTTATTTAACTATTAAAAATAAAAATAAAAATTAATCTAGTTCTATATAATGATGCTACAAATTGAAAGAGTTTCAAATAAAATATCAAAGTAAATTTTACAATTAAAATTGAGTACATTGTTGCATTTTGGGAAACAAAAAAAATTGTTTGGATAAAAAATTCCATCACTAAACTGGATGTAATTTCAAGGATTTTGGATATAATTTCTAGTATTATTAATACAGTAGCTATTTATTATAATTATATTATATTCAAATAGAGGTTCATCCATGATAACAAGGATCGATTTGTCAGTGACCCTCGCATTGGTGCTATCTTGTACATTCTTCCTTTTTTATTTTATTTCCTTCTAAATTTCTAGAACTGAATTTGGACTTCCACCATAGTTGCATGGGTGGAGGAGTACATTAGCAGAAATACGAGATCCCAACAGGAAACAATTAAGCAGAGAACAAAAAGTTCTAACATGCATTTCTCCGACAGAGCGAGAGAGACAGAGAGAGAGGAAACACCCTTGCATGGGTTTTGTTTTCAACATTAAATCCATTCGTGTCAGGTTCACAACGTGCAACAATAAAATATTCATGTTGACAAGATTCTAAAGAACACAAGTCATCCATAGTCAGAAGGGATCACAAATCAGTACCCTGTTCTCTTCCTTTTGCTAGAAATCAGTATTGAATTTTGTCGAATGAAGACTGCATACAATTTTGAGGGGAAGAAAAAACAAAGCAGTGTTTCTTTGAGCCCTCGTCTCCTTATCTGGTAGCTATGAAGAAACTTCTTTAAAATAGCAGTACTTTCTCCATCTACTAGTTGAGATGCCTAAATTTTAAACCAGAAGAAACCTTTATCTACTGGGGCTACTTCAATGATTCCCTTTTGTGGTCAATGTGATTATGATTCCTTCTTTTTAACTCTATATGGATATTTCTGGTATATCGAAATGCTGCTCATGACGAGTGGAAGAGCCACAAGACAGTACACTGAAGGTGGTTTCCCTTCAAACATGAACTGAAGCAAGGCCGTTACAAGAAGTGCAGAAACAATGACAAACCCCTGGAGAAGATTTTGTGGAGATAAAAAGCTGTCTTAGTAGCTCATAATTGAGGAAACTCCAGGCCATATCTTTAGAGTTGGCTTCCATTATCTAACTTTAACATTGTTATATTTACCTTTCTCACACCACCAGCATAGCTTGTGACAAGGCCAACAAGAATTCCACCAAGAGCATTGGCTACAACTGGGATCTGAAACAAAAGAAACACAACTTTTCAATGTTAAACCACATGATACAGCTGTTAGCACGTATGCCATCAGCAGAAAAATTGAAAATGCACCCTAACATATCTGACAAGAATATTACTGGCTCTGTAAATTCAGAATGCAATACTGCCAAGGCTCCAAGAGAAGAAGCTGGGGGAATAAAAACCCTCGCATATAATTTATATCAACTCACAACCACTCTAAACCAAAATATCCCCCACATCCACAGCCTATCAACCCAATACACCCCACCCAATGCATATGTCCCATTCAGCTTTATTTGAGATTTGTGTATTCAAAAAAACATGTTTTTGAGTGTCATTGGGATCCAATACATGAACCCAAAAGGCAGGATTCAAATCTGATTTTTAACTCAAAATACTTTTCTCCAACTGTATCACAATTTAAACACTCTCTCTTCGGATAAACTAATGACTAGATCTTCCTCTACAACTCAACAATCTCAATACATCATATTTCAAAATATTCCTACTTCAAATATATAATGCAGATAAATTTCACCAATCTGAAGCATTATGCAATGCCAGATGCACTTGTGGCTGTCAAACTATATTAGTAAGTGGACAATTTTAACAGCCCACAGAATGACAAGCCATCTAATAATGTTTCTTGAGTAACCAGAAGAAGAAGAAAAATCCAAAGAGTCAATGCATAACCAGAAGGACAACAAGCAAAATTTTATCTCTGAAAGAAACAGGAGTCACAGGAGATTGACAGCAAATTAAAAGCATTCCAACTTCAGGCAGATATCCTAACACTAACAACTGCCCGGGATATATGAGCTTTACCATCCAGATATATTTGTGTCAGTGTAAAAGATTTAAACAGAGGGAAAAGACCATATGATCTATAGACAATTTCTCCATCCTTCAGACAAGAAAACTACCTCAACTGGAAAAAAA